TTAGTTCAGAGAGAAAAAGTATTTTTGGCCAAAAATCCTTTAAGGCTTTAGACTTACAATTTTTGTCATTTCGGCCAAAAAATGGATTTTGTTCAAAATTTCAGTATAGGTACTCCTGAATGTGCTGCTTCAGGATCTGTTAACCAAAATTTGATATCTTGATTATAACTTGTTCAAATGGCTTTTAGAAAATGTTCAAATGATTTTAGAATATTTTAATTACTTTTGCAATGCTAATTACTCGCCACTTATGGGTTTTCGAGGTCATTTCTTGGTGCTTGTGTATTATTCTGGATGTACTTAAATAGTTAGGCACATTAAATTTTAGTTCAGAGAGAAAAAGTATTTTTGGCCAAAAATCCTTTAAGGCTTTAGACTTACAATTTTTGTCATTTTCGGCCAAAAAATGGATTTTGTTCAAAATTTCAGTATAGGGACTCCTTATCAGATTAATTTCAAACAGAATTTAATTAGTGGAACATAAAGTTTGTATTTGTAAGATTTCACAGATAACTTATATACACTCGGCAATAATTATTTTTTATGGACTTTCTCTCTCCAGTTTCAAGCAAGTTTTTATTTCATTTTGCAACAGTCTACGATAACTTACAAATAATTTATTTTTTTATTAAATAGAAAATATCATGTTATAATATCGTAGTAATTAGCCAGGTATATTAGTAATGTCTAAATACTGTACTAATTAAAGAGAGTCATTGACCTTTATACCAGATATCATCTACCTTACCTGTGTGGACAACTTAGCTGTACAGTGCATTCACCAAAGCACAACATTGACCAAATTACCCCATGTAATTTAAAACTCCAACATCTTCCCCCTCCTTCTTCCCACTCTCTCCCCCCCACCTCTTCCCACTCTCTTCCCCCCCCCCACCTCTTCTCACCCCCTCCTCCTCCTCCTCTCACCCTCTTCTGACCTTCCTCCTCTGAGCAGTGTCGTGTGAGGGAGAGAGAAGTTTATCCACATTTCCAGGAACCAGCGAGAGCCTCTAGGTGTTGATGACTGGGGTGGGAAAAATAACGTTTGTACTATATACTTGTTTATATAGTGTATAGCTTAATGCCTTATATGCCTCTCTCATCACTGTTCTGTCGACTCTTATCATTCCCTTATACTTGTATCTGATTATTATACTTATATCTACTCCCTATACTTGTCTGCTCCTTATACGTGTCTGCCCCTTATACTTACATCGGCTCCTTATACCATTGTTTCACCTGTCAAAGTAGATTCAGATAATACTCGTATCATTAATTATCATATATACTGTAAATATATTTTTGTTATGTTGGATATATAACATCAAAGGCTTTTACAACAAAGACCATTCATGTGTATGTGTATTTTTTTAATGTTGATTGCCAAGAATAAGCCAGTAATGGTGTTTCATTTATCAAAAACAAAACACGGATATATATATAAACTAATGTTGATTTGGTGATAATTATTACTTAATGATGTAATTGATATTTCAGGAGAGGTAAGGCACTGTAATGTTTACATGTTGGAGATGGGCGTGACAGAGGAGCTGGACTGAGGACTTGATTTGACGGAAGAATTGGACTGGGGACTTGATTTGGCAAAGGAACTAGACTGAGGACTTGGATTCAGGACTTGCGTGGCGAAGGAACTGGACTAAGGACTTTGGTGTGTGATGATCTAAGAGCAATTGGACTGAGGACATCGTGTATAGCAGTCAGAGGAGTTAGTTTCCCTCTCTCCTCCATCTTCATTTCTTGCTTATTAATATTTGAGTGTTTATAAGTTTATTTATCCATAGTTTGTATATTATTTTAAATAAAAGTGTTGTTATTGTTATTTTTTGTTGTTCTGGAACTTTTATTTGCAATGTATGATGTTTTAATCTCATGATATTTGTAAACAACTTAGTGTTCTGAAGTGTTGGATGACCTTGTTGTCTTTGTCAAATATTTCTCACAATATCTTTTTTCTGGGTGACATTTCCGACTCTAGAATACCATCCAACATCTTCAACAATAATCAGCACCAAATAACACACACACAATATCTGCAGTTCTAGAATGCTTTCACAGGATTCCGCCTTGAAGAATAACACCAGACAGAATCTCCCGGTCCAGAAAACAATCACACACAAACACGTCATTTCCAGCGTGATATCACAAACGCTATTATTTCCAGACACGTGAATCTCAGTTCCAGAGAGACCTGACTTTCCTCAGTGCTGGAATGACGTCAAAAGTGTCAATATCAGTTCGAGAATAACTCCAAACAGCCTGGCGACGACTGCCTCATAACCTTGTGTCACTCTCTCCAGCTTGGCTCGTCTGTGTGTAAGTCTCCTGCAACACTTCCACAGCTGCTGGAATGTTTCTTTACTTTCTTCATTTTCTCTTGATTCTTCACTTCTATTGTTTCTCATCTTTCTTCTTTTATTGTTCTTTCCAGTTATTACTATTACTACTGTCTACTAACTTCGCCTACTGTTAGTAGTGTCTACTACTACTATTGTTACTATTATCTAGTACTACAGGTCTACAAATACTACCACTACTATTATTTATATATTACTACTCATTTTACTGCAACTTCTGCTACTAAAATTATACAACAACAACAACTACTGTTATTAGCTATACTACTAATATGACTAAAGCTACTACAACTACTACTATTACTACTACTACTACTACTACTACTACTACTACTACTACTCTTACATTACAACTACCACTACTACGCTTCTACTAGTAAATCACCTACAACACCATCATCATCATCTACCTGGATTTCTCTCTTCTGCCTCCAAGAGAAGTGTAGTAGGTGAGGGAGGAGGAGGAGGAAGGAGAGGAGGAGGAGAGCGGAGGGGTACCTAAAGGGGAGGCTACGTCACGTATACCAGCAGGAGCGACGCCCAGCCAGATGGTCGGGGTGTATGTGGTCCTCGTAGGGCGGCGTAGACCTCAGCTCCTCTCTCACCTGTGGGCGAGATGGTGGGCGTGGTCAGTGGTGGTGGTGGTGGGTGTGGTTAGTGGTGGTGGGTGTGGTTAGTGGTGGTGGTAGTAGGCGTGTTTAGTAGTAGACATGGTTAGTAGTAGTTGTGGTTGTAGGCATGGTTAGTGGTGGTGGTAGTAGGCATGGTTAGTAGTAGTGGTAGTAGTAGGTATGGTTAGTAGTGGTAGTAGGCATGGTTAGTAGTAGTGGTAGTAGACATAGTTAGGTTAGGTTAGGTTTGCTTAAAACATTACCTGTATATAAATCTACCTGAAATAATAATAGTAAAATGAAATAATCTCCTGCTTAACTACACATATTACCTTTGTTATATTAAATACCAATTGTCACTTAATAGCATAATATTTGTAGTCGTTGTTGTTATAGTCTCAGGGATTATAACAGTAATTCCAATATGGATAAAGCTTAACCCTGATATAAGGACTTTTTTAACATAGTACTGCTGACTTGATGTAATACACGTTCACTGTAAAAAAGTTAACTAATTTATTATTGATCATTACAGCTGATGTTTTTTATTATTGTGTTTTATGAAGTTTTTATTAACATTGCATTAATATGACACATGTATGACACTTAACATGACACATAAACTAATGACACATGTTGATGTAAAATAACAAAATGCGATTTAAAAGTAACAAAAAGTAACAAAATATAACAACAAACAATGACACGACACAACTATAACAAACAAACAAACAATAACACGACGAATAATTATTAAAACAAAAAACAAAGAAACAAACAATAACAACAATAATAACAATAAACAAACAATAACAAGCCACCCGATTATTATAACAAGAACAATAACACGACCCATAACTATTATCACAACAAACAAGGGTGGGTGATGACTGTGTGCCGGACCACCGAGGCCTAACACTAACAGGGCCTGGCTATGTTACCCTGTCATGTTTACAACTCTCTATCCCTCAACAATTAACTGCTGAATAATAAAATACATCTTTTATATATATATATATATATATATATATATATATATATATATATATATATATATATATATATATATATATATATATATATATATATATATATATATAACGTCGAATATGGTTAAGTGATTCAGGGGGGACTCACCTACTCGGCCGTGACTAAGGGGTGACTTACAGTGACTCAAGGAGACTCACCTACTCGGCTGTGACTAAGGGGTGACTTACAGTGACTCAAGGAGACTCACCTACTCGGCCGTGACTCAGGGAGACTCACCTACTCGGCCGTGACTCAGGGAGGGCTCATTTACCCGGCCGTGACTCAGGGTGATTCATGGGGACTCCAAAAAATTCAGGTGATTTATAATGGAGATACAATGACTCATGGGGACTCACAGTGACTCAGGGTGACTCACCTCCTCGGCTCGCTGCAGCACCCTCAGGAAGTTGCCGCCGGCGAGCTTGGCGACGTCGTCCTCAGACCAGCGGGGGTCCTTTAGCACCTCAGCCAGGAGTAAAGGATACTTACTGACGTCCTCCAGACCCTGTGGCGTCCTGCGGGGGAGAGGCAGAGTGGTGAGGGAGAGTAGTGAGGGCCTGGGAGAGTGGTGAGGGCCTGGGAGAGTGGTGGGGGCCTCGGAGAGTGGGGGCCTGGGAGAGTAGTGAGGTCACGGGAGAATTATGAGGGCAGGGAGAGTGGTGAGGCCTGGGGGAGAGTGGTGAGGTCCTGGGAGGTGGTGAGGGCCTGGGAGGTGAGGTGGGGAGGTGGTGGGGGCCTGGGAGAGTGGTGAGGAAGAGTGGTGAGGTGCTGAACAAGTGGTGAAGGTGTATCCTGCCAATGAAAGTGAAAGAAGAGGCTGTTGGGAGGATGAATAGCGAAGATTGAGGGAGGAGGAGGAGGAAGAGGAGGAGGAGGAGGAAGAGGAAGAGGAAGAGGGAAGAGGGAAGAGGAGGGGCAGAGGAGGAAGGGGGGAGGAGGAGGAGGAAGAGGATAGGAGGCAAAAGTGAAGCGAATGAAGAGGTGAGGCATTATAATGAGAATGAACACAAGGAGAGAGAGAAAGAGAGAGGAGGGAGATAGAGAGGACACACACACACACATTGACAACATCCATCAACAACCACAACTACCACCATCACTAACCCCCCCCCTCTCCTTTAACCACCATCACCAACACTACCACCAACACCCTCAGATCAATCATTGCATGTAACGCCCCTAATTTATTCATTCGTCTTTCGTCTATATGATAAATTATGAGTCACAGTCACATTATAAGTAACAACAATGATAATACACACATATATATATACACTATTCAAATATCTACTGAAAATACATAAGACAATACGTAAACGTAAACTATATAATTTTTTTTAAAGAGTTTCATTAATCGTCTAAATACACAAGATATCATTTTCTTGTCTTTGTAAACATTTGTTCCAACAATGTTTGTAATTTTTCTCGTCCTTCAAAAGATCACATTTGTGTTGGTGGTAAATATTGACTCGCCTCGCAGGTTCTTTTGTTTCTCATATTCGTGGGAAAATATCGAGATTTGTGAGTTTTCCAGCACTTTACAATGTTTACCTGAGATAATTGAAGATTTTTAGTGACTTTTTTTTTACCTGTATTTATCATTCAAGTAACTTGGATATGTTAAAAATACGTAGAATTTTATTGCATTCATAACAAAAAAATGATTTAGTGTTTAGTTATTGTTTCTTTTTACAATATATAGAAGATTATGACGTTTTCTCCCTTACCTGTAGATATTCACCATACCGTAATGATCGTGAAGAGGGGCCGGGCCATCTTTAACCCTCGTGGTCGACTCAAACCATTAACTCTCACGCTCCGCTTTCTCTATTCTACCTCAACAACAACCATTAGTTTCTCTCTCTCTCTCACTCAAGCGTGTTTCTTTCTCTCTCTATTTACCTAAAGTTCATGTATGTTTGTATGTATGTATGTATGTATGTATGTATGTATGTATGTATGTATGTATGTATATCTCTTGTCTACATTCTCTTTGGTTCACCCTTCCTTCTTTTCTCTTGTTTTCTTTTAATGCTATAATGAGTGACACACCTGAATGTTACGTGTTACAACAGGTATACCACACCTTGTCCACCTGTAATTAAGTACCACACATCAAGATCCAATGACTCCCTTCTCTCAACACCTGTGACCATAAACCAGGTTAATTAGTGAGTCTTTGAACATTCCAGGCCATATAGAAATACCTTATCTCAGAAGCCACAGGTAATCACAGGTAATTACAAAATCAGGTATTTCCTCTTAAGAAAAAACGTAATGAAAACTTAATAAGAATAGATTGAGTGGGTGTGAGGTGGGGAAGGGTTGGGGGGTGAAGTGTGTGGGAGAATTTGGGGGTGGGGTGATGTGTGGGGAGGTTAGGGGTGGGTGGGAGTGTGTGTGGGGAGGGGTTGGGGGTGGGTGGGGTGATGTGTGTGGGGAGGGGTTGGGGTGGGTGGGAGTGATGTGAGGTGAGGAGGGATGGGGTGAGATGATGTGTGTGGGGAGGTTCAGGTGGGGTGGTGAGGAGGGATGGGGTGTGGTGTGTGGGAGGGGTTGGGGGGTGGGGTGGGGTGGGGGATGGGGTGAGTTGATGTGTGGGGGAGGAGGGTTGGGGGTGGGTGGGGTGATGTGGTGAGGAGGGATGGGGTGAGATGATGATGTGGGAGGGTTGGGGGTGGTGATGTGTGGGAGGGTTGGGATGGGGTGATGTGAGGTGAGAGGGATGGGGTGAGGTGATGTGTGGGGGGGTTGGGGTGGGTGGGGTGGTGTGAGGTGAGGAGGGGATGGGGTGAGGTGATGTGAGGTGAGGAGGGGTTGAGGTGAGGTGAGAAGGGGAGGGGATGAGGGGTTGTGACTCACTTGTTGATGCCGTCAAAGTCGCCTCCAACACCGACGTGGTCCAACCCCGCCACCTCCCTGATGTGGTTAATGTGACCTGCAGGAGGAACCACAAGAGTTAGGTTAAGGTTATGGGTTAATGTAAGAGGTTAATGTTAATGGTTAATACTTGACCTAAAGGAGGAATCACAAGAGTTAGGTTAAGGTTAGGGGTTAATGCTAGAGGTTAATGTTAGGGGTTAATACTTGACCTGCAGGAGGAATCACAAGAGTTAGGTTAAGGTTAGGTGTTAATGTAAGAGGTTAATGTTAGAGGTTAATACTTGACCTGCAGGAGGAACCACAAGAGTTAGGTTAAGGTTAGGGGTTAATGTTAGAGGTTAATGTTAAAGGTTAATACTTGACCTAAAGGAGGAACCACAAGAGTTAGGTTAAGGTTAGGTGTTAATGTTAGAGGTTAATGTTAGAGGTTGATACTTGACCTAAAGGAGAAACCACAAGAGTTAGGTTAAGGTTAGGTGTTAATGTAAGGGGTTAATGTTAGAGGTAAATGTAAGAGGTTAATGTTAAAGGTTAATACTAGACCTAAAGGAGTAACCACAAAAGTAAGGTTAAGGGTTAAAACATGACCTGGGTATGATAGACTAGTGTAAGGTTAATGTTAGATGCCCAGAAGTGACTTAAAAACATGGCGGTACTTACAGACGGCCTCTAGTACTTACAGTGACACTTACCAACACAGAAGTACTTACAGACGACCTCTAGTACTTACAGTGACACTTACCAACACAGAAGTACTTACAGACGACCTCTAGTACTTACAGTGACACTTACCAACACAGAAGTACTTACAGACGACCTCTAGTACTTACAGTGACACTTACCAACACAGAAGTACTTACAGACGGCCTCTAGTACTTACAGTGACACTAACCAACATGGGAGTACTTACGGACGACGTCGTGGACACTGGCGGAGTCGTTGCAGGTGAGGAAGTAGTTGTAGAAGCTGACCATCACGATCCCACCATTTAAGTGCTGCAACACAAGACGGCCTCAGTGTTAAGTAACTTACAAGGCTCATGTGGTGTGTCTAGCTGTTAAGTGGCTGTTAAGTGGTTGTTAAGTGGCTGTTAAGTGGCTGTTAAGTGACTGTAAAGTGACTTAAGTACTGAAAAATACCTATATCGTTGTTGAGAAAGTATTAATGACAAGTTTTAATGATTCTGAATTGTTTAACAAATGGTTGTTTACAATTATTTTAAGTATGTTCTAACGCCATTTACCACTTATTAAAGATACTCTAGCGCTACTTACCACTTGTTTAAGGATGTCGTCGGGCACCACTTACCACTTGTTTAAGGATATCGTCGGGCACCACTTACCACTTGTTTAAGGATATCGTCGGGCACCACTTACCACTTGTTTAAGGATATCGTCGGGCACCACCACCACTTGTTTAGGATATCATCGGGCACCACTTACCATGACTGGAATATCGTCGGGCACCACTTACCACTTGTTTAAGGATATCGTCGGGCACCACTTACCACTTGTTTAAGGATATCGTCGGGCACGTTGCGGGAGTGGTGACAGAGAGCTTGAGCTGAGGAGTGAGAGAAGATGACAGGGGCGCGACTCACAGCCAGAGCGTCCCTCATGGTCTGCTGTGAGACGTGGGACAGATCTACCAGCATCCCCAGTCGGTTCATCTCCAACACCACTTTCTGTCCCCCACACCAAACACTGTTGTTACTTGTGGTGGAGAGGTGAGGGAGAGAAGTGGGAGGGAGGGAAGGGAGAATGAGTGAGGGAGAATCGGAAAAAGGAGGGAGGCAAGGAAGAATTGAAGAGAACAGGGAGTATAGGGGAGGTCAGGGAATGTGAAAGAGAATAGCAAGGGATGTAAGGGAGGATTAGGGAGAGGGAGAAACGCCAGGGAGAGTTGTGGGAGGGAGGGAAGGGAGAATGAGTCAGTGAGGAGGAGTAAGGGATTAAGGGAGGGAGGGACAGACAAGTCAAGAGTGAGGGAAGGTAAGGGTGATGGAAGAGAACAGGGAGAGGGAGGGAGATTAAGGGAAGCCAGGGTGAGTAAGGTCGGGAAGGAAGGAACATCATCACACATAAATAGCCAAACTCTAAGCCCCACGGCCTTAACACAACATGTATACGGTGCCACCAACAGCCTTACTCTACCCTTGGCTCTGATACTACGGGAAGTGTGTGTGTGTGTGTGTGTGTGTGTGTGTGTGTGTGTGTGTGTGTGTGTGTGTGTTTGTGTGCCGATCAGAAGCTTTTAGATGCACGCGAGGCAATCTTTATGTTTATGTAGTCATCAGGAGCCCATCAGAAAGTCTCCATTTACACATTACAAGTCTCTATCTTCTCCTCTACCCATTAGAAAGCCCTATCACATTCCCATCAGAAGCCCCATCAGGAGGCCCATCATCTCTCTCATCAGAAGGCCCATCATCTCTCATCAGAAGGCCCATTATCTCTCATCAGAAGGCCCATCACATCCCCATCAGGAGGCCCCATCACATCCCCATCAGGAGGCCCCATAACATCCCCATCAGGAGGCCTCATCACATCCCCATCAGAAGGCCCCATCATCTCCCCATCAGAAGGCCCATCAGAAGAAGCTACTTTACTTACGGAGCCGAAGTCGTTGAGGCCGAAGTTCTCGTCGTCGTTGTTGGGGGAGTCAGCGAGTGAGGAGTCTGCCCTGCCAGCAAGTATGTTGTGTTACTGACCCATGCTACTGACCCATGTTACTGACCCATGTTACTGATCCATGTTACTGACCCATGTTACTGACCCATGTTGCTGACCCATGTTGCTGACCAAATTTTACTGACCCATGTTACTGACCAAATGTTACTGACCAAATGTTACTGACCCATGCTGCTGACCCATGTTACTGACCCATGCTACTGACCCATGTTACTGACCCATGTTACTGACCCATGTTAATGATCCATGCTACTGACCCATGTTACTGACCCATGTTACTGACCCATGCTACTGACCCATGTTACTGACCCATGTTACTGACCCACACTGACCCATGGTGTGTGCTAACTATTCTTAATGGTGTGTCAGTAATAACAATATCAGATTAAGTAATAAACACAATTATTACATTATAACAATATTTCACAACAACTCGTGAGAGAGGAAGAGTAAAGTGTGTGTGTGTGTAGGTGTGTGTGTGTGCAGGTGTGGGTGTGTGTAGGTGTGGGTGAACGTGTGATTGAACGAATGTGTGGGCGTGTGAGTGAACGTGTGTGCGTGTACGTATATGAGTGTGCGTGTGGGTGAACATGTGTGTGTGTGTGTGTGTGTGTGTGTAGGGAGAGTGTTGCAGGTGTGGGTGGAGAGTGTTACAGGTGTGGGTTACCATGGGGTGTTGCAGGTGTGGGTGAGGGTGAGGTAACGGATGCCCAGGTCGTAGTACATCCTGAGGACAGACAGACTGGCGCCCATCAGGTGGCCACCCTCAACCCCCAGCAGACTGGCGATGCGTCCTGAGTTGTACACCTCCATCAAACCTGCCACACACACACACATGGCTCACCTACACATATGTACACACATGGTTGACCTACACATATATATACACACATGGTTGAGGTCTATTTGTGTGAATATATCAATACACATAATATAAAAGTATATATGAGTGTATTCATCAAGGTATATACAGTATATTGACACCTGTTAACTAATACTAATGTCTAAGGTAATTATCGTCACTGTAACACGTCATTGATTACATATTGATGTCTTTATGATGGAGGAACAGAGACGTATACCAGACATCAATTGACTACGTTTAATGGACGTATCATAACACAGCCTCAAGGGACATTTATTGAAGGGGGTAAGGTAGAGCCTCACATGACGCCAGCTGAGGCTATTTTAATAATATATCAACACCAGTAGCCTCAGTGACTATATTCAAGGAATAGTCTGATGCAAGTTACTATCATCAGAGGGTTGGGAGGCAATAACTAAGGTGCACCCTGACCACACCACAACACTATACTTACTGGCGTAGGACTGAGCGTATCCCAGGTGTTGTGGGTAACGAGCTATCATGCGCTTGATGACGTCAATCTGTTCCAACGTCACCTGCGCCGCGTTGAGATACTGCGCCTTACACGGGACATACGCCGCCCAGAACTGCGCCAGAGGGAGAGATAAAGAGAATTGTAAATAATGAAACGAAAATGTCACGTTAATTCAGTGTTGTGTTTGAGCATGAAGATATAAGGAGTTAGATGGTGCAGGATGAAACACTGGTATAGAGACATGGTCAGGTGTCGAATCTAATTAACCTGAAAAGCTGTGTAATATGACACAGGTGTGAGAGAGAGCAGGTAAAATGTTACCTACAAGATCAACAACATTTCTGTACATCAAACAACGTCCCTTTAACTCTTAACATACCTGGTAAAGTTCTCTTGACACCTGACACACCTAGCAACGCCTGACACAGCTGGGGAGGCCACCTGACACAGCTAGGGAGGCCACCTGACACAACTCACCTGCGCCCCGACTCTGCCTTGCCTCAGTCTGGCCAGGTCGGTGTGGGACCAGGGGGAGCTGCCCCAAGGCTCCACCCTACTCAGGTTCTGGGACATGTCCACCTTCTCCAACTTGTTGTGCACGAAGTTACGGATGTTCCAGGCCAGGTCGTTGTGTCTGAGGGAGACAACACCAGAAATAACCTCCATTTAACGGACACCAATATAACGGCAATAGTCCGTTATAGGGAGGTTTCAATGTATACCTTGATATAACGGACGGTACTCTCCCATACAGTGTGTTAAAAGAGGTCTCTCATTTAATGGACCCCGATATAACAAACTACTCTCTCATATAGTCCGTTAAATAAAGGTCTCACTGTATAACATTTCCCTAAAGATTATAAAATGTTTTTTGTTTGTTGTTGTTTAGAGGGAGGAGGGAAGGGGACCCTAGGGCGGGCTTAAAGTAATTTGTGAGAGGTAGGGGACGTGAGGGAGAGCTGCCTGTGACACGAGGGAAGGATGGTGCTGATGATCCCTCTTGTTAGTGACGAGAGAGAGAGAGAGAGAGAGAGAGAGAGAGAGAGAGAGAGAGAGAGAGAGAGAGAGAGAGAGAGAGAGAGAGAGAGAGAGAGAGAGAGAGAGTTAACACACACCACCAACATCTCAAAATTATTCCCTAAAAAAACACTCACCAGCGGCGGCCAATTTCGTAAACAAAAGTATCACGGGCGAGGAGACGTGGCCAGCCTAATGAAGGAATCCAAGATCATAAAGTCCCCAACAGTGACTTACTAAAAGCACAACAAAAAGTTAGAAATAAAAAAAAACACTCGACATAGGAACGTGACCTGGTGAAGAATGATCTCTAGTTGCTCCAGGTCACACAAATTCGATGCCGATCTTTGGTTGGTAGTACTGGCGAGGGAGGGAAGGAGGGAGAGAGAGTGGGAGGGAAAGAGGAGGAAGGAAGGAAGGAAGGGAAGGGATAGGAGTAAGGGAGTTAGGGAGAGAGAAGGAAGGGAGGGAGAAATGGAGGGAGATAGGGTGAGAAGAAAGGAGAAGGGAAGGAAGAAGGGAGAGAAGCTTCAATGGATGGCAGTACAAGACAACTTAACATCTGTTCAGGACTATCACTTACATACGCTCTTATTGCACTGATGAAGGACACTATTCTTACCCAAGCAGGAAGAAAGGTAGGAGAGGTCGTCCACTTAGAGAAGAAATGAGGTAAGGAGAGGTCACCCACAGAGAGAAACAGGTAGGAGTGGTCGTCCACTTAGAGAAGAAATGAGGTAAGGAGAGGTCGCCCACTTAGAGAAACAGGTAGGAGAGGTCGCCCACTTAGAGAAACAGGTAGGTGAGGTCGTCCACCTAGAGAAACAGGTAGAAAAGGTCGTCCACTTTGAGAAACAAGTAGGAGAGGTCGCCCACTTAGAGAAACAGGTAGGAGAGGTCGTCCACTTAGAGAAGGAAGGAGGCAGGTAGAGGTGGTCCACTTACCCATCAATGAGGGGGACGGTACTGAGGATGCGGTGGACACGGGCGAGGGCGTTGTGAGGGTGAGGGAGAGAGTCACTCCTGGCAGCGAGGGGGAGAGCCACGGCCAGCACTACCCCCCCACTGAGCAGCAGCAGTGCCGCCAACACACACCAGTGGCGCCACGTGTACCTCTCCCAGCCTGTAAACACAAAGGTAAACTATCTCTCCCAGCCTGTAAACATAAAGGTAAACTATCTCTCCCAGCCTGTAAACACAAAGGTAAACTATCTCTCCCAGCCTGTAAACATAAATGTAAACTATCTCTCCCAGCCTGTAAACACAAAGGTAAACTATCTCTCCCAGCCTGTAAACACAAAGGTAAACTATCTCTCCCAGCCTGTAAACACAAAGGTAAACTATCTCTCCCAGCCTGTAAACACAAAGGTAAACTATCTCTCCCAGCCTGTAAACACAAAGGTAAACTATCTCTCCCAGCCTGTAAACACAAAGGTAAACTATCTCTCCCAGCCTGTGTTGAGTTAGAATGGGTTAAGTTGGGCTAATAATTTAATTTACCTGTAGTCGTGGAAGTAGTAGTGGTGGTAGTAGTACTGGTGGTGGTGGTGGTAGTAGTAGTAGTAGTAGTAGAATTTGACAAAAAAAGTAGCTATAGCGCAGGAGGTGGGCGCCTTTCAACTGGTTAACTACGTTACCGATAAGGGCAAATGGTTTCAGCCTTAACAAACAGAATTTACAGATGCCATTGCTCTAAGGTACGGTTGGCCAGTAGATGGTTTGCCCTCCCAATGCGTGTGGCTCTTCCTATGATGGCGATCACGCCATGGTCTGCAAGAAGGGGGGCTTCATATGCATGAGGCATGACGAGGTAAGGATCTCACAGCAAATATGTTGAAGGAAATCTGCCGGGACGTCATGGTAGAACCGACCCTCCTTCCACTGGATGGCGAGATCTTCCAACACAGGACTTCAAACATCTAACGAAGCCTGTGTGGACGTCAGTGCTCGGAGATTCTGGACGCGGGGACAGCGAGCTCTTCGACATCAGGATTTTGATCCATGCCGCTTGTCACCGTAACCTAGCTCTCGATGCTGCACATAGAGGAACGAGAACGACAAGACGGGCATATGGGGAGAGAATTCAAAATGTTGATCAAGGCAGCTTCACTCCTCTAGTGTTCACAACCTCTGGATGGGCCAATGCAAGATGTTTCTACGCCAGACTCGCGGAGTTGATCTCGAACAGAAGCAGCAGCCCAGAAGTTATGTTACAGCCTGGATGAGATGTCGACTGTCCTTCTCTCCTTCGGTCGGCTTTGCTCTGCCTCAGGGAACGAGAGCTTCTGCCCCTACGCCGACAACTGCTGCAGATATTGACTATGAGGCTGAATACTGAATGCCGCATAGATCTGCGGCTCAACTAATCTAACACAGTTTTAGGATAGCAACCTGTATGTATTAGGATATTTAATATTAAGGTAAATAAATGGCGGCGAAGATTGTGGCTATTGGGGGAGGCTGGAGGCCACATTAAAAAGAAAAAAAAAAAAAAAAAAGTAGTAGTAGTAAGTAGTAGTATTATTAGTCAACCGAGGGAACAACACAGGGGGACCTGTTGCAATAGCAATGTATGAATTGGCCTATCAGTGCTCCAACAAGAAATAAAATTTGAAACAACTGAGGTCAAACAAGTGGCATATGCTGATGACCTTACAGGAGCAGGAGAAAAGTGGAGGGCATCAAAAAGTGGTGGGACTTGGTAACCTGGCGAGGTCCACAAATAGGGTACCATAGCAGCCAGCAAGTCCTTCCTCGCCATTGAAATAGAACATTATGAACGGGCATTGGAGGTTTTGGAGAAGTGAGGTCAAAATAACTAAGGACAGCCAAAAGACATCTTAACAGGCGCGGTAATTGGCCTCTGGGACTTCAAGACCGAGTCTCATAGCGGGAAGGTGAATGAGTGGGTTAGTGAAATCCAGCTCTGTCTGGGATTGTAACACAGAGCCACATGTGGCCTTTGCTGCATTCCCCCATGGAGTCAAGCATCGTTGGAACTACCTGATGTGCACTATCCTGATATCGGACCGTCCTCCACCCTCTGGAAAAGCTATGATGTCAAGTTCATTCCCAAATTAGTGAAACACCTGACTTAACCCCAGCAGAAAAGAGCACTTCATGCACTTCCACCAAGACTGGGAGGGATGGGACTAACAAATCCAGAGAGATTGCTGCCACTGAACATCAAAAAATTCACTTAAGCTCACGGCAGCCCTCAAGGACCACATAATAGCCCAGAATGCAATAGGGGAAGTGGATGCCAGTGAAGTAAATAAGATGCGTGGAGTCACTACGACAGATCAACCCAGCACTGCCAAAATGATGCGGTTACGCGTAACTATTGCTGCGAATGCCAAAAATTTGAAAAAAAAAGTAGCGCCTATAGCGCTGGAGGTGGGCGCCTCGAACTGGTTAACTATATGTTACGATGAGGCAAATGGTTTCGTCAATAAACAGAATTTACAAGATGCCATTGCTCTAAGAATGCGGTCTGACCCAGTAGAAGGTTTGCCCTCCAATGCATTATTGTGGCTCTTCCCTATGATAGCGATCTACGCCATGTGAGGTGGCTACAAGGCGGGCTTCTTATGCATGGGGCATAGCGAGCAAGGGATCTCACAGCAAATATGTTGAAGGAAATCTGCGAGGACGTCATGGTAGAACCGACCCCCCTTCCATTGGATGGTGAGATCTTCCAACACAGGACTTCAAACACATCCTAGCAGAAGCCCGTGTGGACGTCAGTGCTCGAAAGTTCTGGGCCGAGGACAGCGAGCTTTCTTCGACATCAGGATTTTTGATCCGCAGCCCTTGTCACTGTAACCTAGCTCTCGATGCTGCACATAGGAGGAACGAGAACGACAAGAGAAGGGCGTATGAGAGAATTCAAAACGTTGATCAAGGCAGCTTCACTCCTCTAGTGTTCACAACCTCTGGTGGATGGGCCAAGTGCAAGATGTTTTACGCCAGACTCACGGAGGTGATCTCCGAACAGAAGCAGCAGCCCAGAAGTTACGTTACAGCCTGGATGAGATGTCGACTGTCTTCCTCTCTCCTTCGGTCGGCTTTGCTCGCCTCAGGGAACGAGAGCGTCTGCCCCAATCCCGACAACTGCTGCAGATATTGACTATAAGGCTACTGTCACTGAATGCCCCATAGATCTGCGGCTCAACTAATTTAACACAGATAGGATAGCTACTTATGTATTAGGATATTTAATATTAAGGTAATAAAATGGTGGCAAAGGTGTGGCTATTGGGGAGGCTGGAGGCCACGATCTATAAAAAAAAAAAAAAAAAAAGAAGTAGTAGTAGTAGTAGTAGTAGTAGTAGTATATCATAATGATCATTTAGTAGTATCGTTGTCATAAACATTTAGAAACTCCTTCACTTCCACACCTTCCCCCACCATCACAACACACCTTCCCTTCCCACAACGCACTCTCCCTCCCCCACAACACACCTTCCTCCACCATCACAACACACCCTCCCTCCCCCCACACACACTCTCCCTCCCCCACAACACTCTCCCTCCCCACAACACACTCTCCCTCCCCCACAACACACTCCTCTCCTCCTCCTACAACACACTCTCCCTCCCCCACAACACACCCTCCCCCACAACACACCCTCTCCTTCCCACAACACTCTCTCCCTCCCCCACAACACACCTCTCCCTCCCCCAACACACTCTCCCCACAACACTCTCCCTCCCCCACAACACTCTCCCTCCCCCACACACCACACACCTCCCTCCCCCACAACACACTTTCTCCCCACAACACACTCTCCCTTCCCCACAACACACTCTCCTTCCCCACAACACACCTCCTTCCCCACAACACACCTCCCCCCACAACACACTCTCCCTTCCCACAACACACCTCCCTCCCCAACACACTTTCACCCCACAACACACTCTCCCCCCACAACACACCCCCCACAACACACTCTCCCTTCCCCACAACACACTCTCCCTCCCCCCAACACACTTTCACCCCACAACACACCTCCCCCACAACATACCTCCTCCCCACAACACACTCTCCCTCCCCCACCACACACCCTCAACGCACCTCACTAATTAAACAACATGAAGGCCACCAATTAGATATAATCTGTTTTGTTTATGGAAATAAATTGAAAGCAATAGGACCAAACAGAGATATACGAGTCCATTATAACAAGGGTCCTTAAAAAAAGGTATGGCACAATGGCACACCTCGTATCATATTGTTTCGTTCACTCGTAAAGTTTCTGACGGAACCGTACCTAAAATATTTCACATTTCATCTAAATTTCTCCATTGGTTTTCGATATACTTCCTTAACATCAGAAAATATTTGTCTTTGTAATCTAGTGAGAAAAAATTTAACATGTGATTTTGATATTAAAATGTATGAAGAAATTTGTTCACCTGATTTAAAAAAAATACTCCTTATTAAGAGAAAAATATTTTAAAAAATCGAATTATTGCCAGACGTTGCCAAGTGTAAGATAATATTACAATAAACACGAATTATTGCCAGACGTTGCCAAGTGTAAGATAATATTTCTATAAACACACGAATTATTGCCAGATATTGCCAAGTGTAAGATAATATTACTATAAACACACGAATTATTACGAGACGTTACCAAGTGTAAGATAATATTACTATAAACACACTAATTATTACGAGACGTTACCAAGTGTAAGATAATATTCCTATAAACACACGAATTATTGCCAGATATTGCCAAATGTAAGAAAATATTACTATAAACACACGGATTATTGCCAGACGTTGCCAAGTGTAAGATAATATTACAATAAACACACGAATTATTGCCAGACGTTGCCAAGTGTAAGATAATATTACTATAAACACACGAATTATTGCCAGACGTTGCCAAGTGTAAGATAATATTACTATAAACACACGAATTATTACCAGACGTTGCCAAGTGTAAGATAATATTACTATAAACACACGAATTATTACCAGACATTACCAAGTGTAAGATAATATTACTATAAACACACGAATTATTGCCAGACGTTACCAAGTGTAAGATAATATTACTATAAACACACGAATTATTACCAGACGTTACCAAGTGTAAGATAATATTACTATAAACACACGAATTATTGCCAGACGTTACCAAGTGTAAGATAATATTCCTATGAACACACGAATTATTGCCAGATGTTGCCAAGCGTAGAGGAAAATTCTGACAGTCAATGTTTATATGGGATTTAAACATGTGTCCATTTATTTCAGTTAGAAGGTGAGTTAGAGAGTTATATTATGATGTTATTGCAGCCGGAGAGTGAGGCACTGTGGTAGTAATATAGCAACAGTGGTCCATGATACCTGCAATATTCCTGAGTTACTGAAATGGGAATGAGTTTCAGCCCTGAGAGAAAAACACAAACATGAACATAATCCGACACGACACGGACCACATACATACATACATACATACATACATACATACATACATACATACATACATACATAAGGATCCACAACATATAAAAATCCATAACTCGAGTGATAAAACATACGTCAAATTTTAATATAATTCGATAAAAACAAATTATAGTTGAGCCACACATTAAAATAATCATGATGAAGTATAACAATTTACAGTAAGCTTCAGTATAGCCAATTTAAATGAGGAAGAATATGACAAACTATTATTAATATTAGTATGGAAAATATCACCAAATTTCAGCATTAAAAAATTACGATAAACTTCAGTAAAACAATTTATAGAGAACAACAAAATAAAATAGTTTGTAGTGTGTTAAAATACACCAACATACCAACACGCTATTCTGTGCTAACAATACACACACACACACACACACACACACACACACACACACACACACGACTATTTTCAGGACTAAACAATTATATGAGGGTGTTCTGACATAGGCGAAGCAAGTAAGAAACAGTAGTCCTTAATACACTGGCACCACTTGCTTATACAACACCATCACGAAACGACTTATTTTTTTTGTAAATTAATAAACAGCAGAGCAACGAGAATTTCTAAGGCAAAAGATGACGGCAACGTATCGATGATCTATAATACCTTAATATATATAATAAAATCCAAATATATTATCCTATAATTACATAAATATAAGAAATAATTATATTCTCTCATAATCAAGTTCAATTAACGTTTCCTGTCCTCATAAACGAGTATTAACATAAAATTAAAACATTACACAGGAACCTATACTAACAAAAATATTCCCTTCATCCTCATTAACAAACTCGTAAATATTTTATTCCCTCGTTATGTTAATGCTGTCATAAGTACGAAGGTAAGTGTTATTCAGGTAATGTCATTGTTAGAGTATTATTAAGCAGGTGATTGTGTAATGATGTCACCTGGTGGAACTCTTGATAACACCTGGTGGACCTCTTGATAACACCTGGTGGACCTCTTGATAACACCTGGTGGACCTCTTAATAACACCTGGTGGACCTCTTAACACCTGGTGGACCTCTGTAACACCTGGTGGACTCTTAATAACACCTGGTGGACCTCTTGATAACACCTGGTGGACCTCTTGATAACACCTGGTGGACCTCTTGATAACACCTGGTGGACCTCTTGATAACACCTGGTGGACCTCTTAATAACACCTGGTGGACCTCTTAATAACACCTGGTGGACCTCTTGATAACACCTGGTGGACCTCTTGATAACACCTGGTGGACCTCTTGATAACACCTGGTGGACCTCTTAATAACACCTGGTGGACCTCTGATAACACCTGGTGGACCTCTTAGCCTTACCTGAGGTGGACCTCTTCGATAACACCTGGTGGACCTCTTGACAGCACCTGGTGGACCTCATGATAACACCTGAAGTGGACCTCTTGATAACACCTGGGTGGACCTCTTGATAACACCTGGTGGACCTCCTCGATAACACCTGGTGAGGACCTCTTGACAGACTTGCTGTGGTGGACCTCTTAATAACTTACCTGGTGGACCTCATAATAACACCTGGTGGACCTCTTGATACCTGGTGGACCTCTGATAACACCTGAGTGGACCTCTTGACGCACCTGTTGGACCTCTTAACAACACCCTGGTGGACCTCTTAATAACACCTGGTGGACCTCTGTAACACCTGGGTAGACCCTCTTGATAACACCTGGTGGACCTCTTGATAACACCTGGTGGACCTCTTGATAACACCTGGTGGACCTCTTAATAACACCTGGTGGACCTCTTGATAACACCTGGTGGACCTCTTGATAACACCTGGTGGACCTCTTAATAACACCTGGTGGACCTCTTAATAACACCTGGTGGACCTCTTGATAACACCTGGTGGACCTCTTAATAACACCTGGTGGACCTCTTAATAACACCGGGTGATAATAGAGTCTTTATTCACCTGTGTGTTATATTACCATCTTGGTCTACTGTCACGGAACTCCTTAATACGTCTAGTAAGTTACAAGACCAATTTAACACTAGTAAAAATTGTTATTACCCAATAAATCAAGTGATAATAGCACAGAGGTCAGGTGCCTGGGATCCATGTTATTAAAATGATAACATCAAGTCACTGTAGGAGGTAAATTGATGTGGTATTTTCACTGCCCATTATTGTACTATATATAGATACACTCGGATATTTAATTTTATATAGCAACTTTTATAACCAGAATATAAAAGTAATATTTTTTTTTCATGGAAGGAGAGAGAGGGGTAAAAAAAAAAGTGTGAATCGTACGCCCGCCAATACTGTCTTGTTGTTATGCCTGAAAGCTCATCTCAAAGTGTCGTACTTCATGGTGCGTTGGTTACTTTTACAATGTAAAGCTCAAAATAATACTGCCTGTAGGAATTATATATGTAATTTATGTACATATAACTCCCCAATGACGGATGATATATACCTATAAGAATAAAATACATCTTTATTAGTCACGGAAGCAATTATATTCTTCCTGTGCATGTGAGAATTTATGTATCAGTGAACTTGAGTCATAAATTAGCCTATAATTCGTGTCTGAGAGATTATAGCGACCAAGAGGCGCTGCTCATATGTCTGCCAGAGAACAGTGATAAATTCCAGGCGGACTACATTAATGCCTATAATAGCTTCGATTTATGAATGTGTTTTCTAAAAGGGTCTCTGGGAACAGGGAGTTATGTCTGGGATAAATATGTCTAAGAATGTTTGCGTGATGAAGTGAGCTGACACAGTTTCATCAGGGAGGTCCGTAGTGTAAGGCACCACACTAATATACTGTTGTTTGTTACTTGGTGGGAAAACTGTTGCTATGTTGCAGTTTTATATATGTTTGTCTTTTTACTGTTATTGGTGATTGATTCGTGTTGTTATTTGTAAGGTTAGAATTTATTATTAGTTTTTTTTTTAATTATTGAAAGTTACTCCAGAGAGGATTTTAGTGTTTTTGGTAATGTTTATGATTGAAGGTTAAAAATGTTGCAAATTCGTTACATGACAACAATTTGCAATATTCATTATTATCTTCTCTTTGTTCCTTTACCTCCCTGATAACACACAACACAAGAGGCACAGTATTATAACATCAACACTCACCTTTCTTCTTGTTTTCGTTGTCCTCCTCCCTGACCACACACAACACAAGAGGCACAGTATTATAACATCAACACTCACCTTTCTTCTTGTTTTCGTTGTTCTCCTCCCTGACCACACACAACACAAGAGGCACAGTATTATAACATCAACACTCACCTTTCTTCTTGTCTTCGTTGTCCTCCTCCCTGACCACAACACAACACAACACAAGAGGCACAGTATTATAACATCAACACACACCTTTCTTCTTGTCTTCGTTGTCCTCCTCCCTGACCACAACACAACACAACACAAGAGGCACAGTATTATAACATCAACACACCTTTCTTCTTGTCTTCGTTGTCCTTCTCGTCAGAAAAGGGTGAGTCAGGTTGTTCTCTCTCGAAGGTGTACTCTGAGATCTGGTAGCGAGGTGGAGGCCCCGTCGTGGTCACTACCGCCGCCGCCCCTCCTCGCCGGTAGCTGGTGGACGTTGTCGTGTCTCTGAAGCTTCCTCGACCTTCTCTACCTCTCCCACTACCTCCTCCTGTTGCGTCCCCTGCGGTACTTTCTTCTTCGCCTCCTTCTTCTACTCCTCCTGCTCTTGACTTTCCCCTAAGGCTACACACTCGCTTGAGACTCCCACCAAGGCTCTTGGCGATGTTGCCTCCGTCAGTAGACACCCGGGAAGCCGTGCCGAATATTCCGCTGTCAGGAGTTCTTTTGTTGACTGGCCCGTTGGGGAGAGGCAGCGTCTGTAACAACAAGAACATACATTGATGAAATGAATTTGATACCGAGAGAGTGTATAATGAGAACTATAGTGTGTATGTGAGACTGTAGTGTGTATGTAAGACAGGAAGGAACAAACATACACACACACACATACAGCATCATACATTAACATACAGGCCTCAGTAGGTGCCGCAGCTGGTATAGCCGCTGTATACACCAGACCTATACTCTCTCCCGTGCAGTGTCTGACGTTAGGTTTATTAGTGAGCTCATGTACAGCTGTAGTAAGTAAACAGAGTGCATAGTTCCGACTCTACTGAATATTTTATGCTGGACAACGTAACGTATATTCACGGCAACAATTTTAACAACCATTTAGTGATACACATTTATTACAATGTATTTAAATTCACCTCCATATAATTACTTCTATATGAATTTTATTATATATATTTAATTATTATTGTTATGACGATTCTAACAGGAGCCAAATTTTAATGATGAAATATACGTTTTTTTTTGTTTTTTTTTTCCTGGGAAACAGCTGAATGACCTTGAGGTGTTCACTATTCGCTTAATATATATCACCACTGTACACCATCATGGCAGTAGGTTCACCATCTTTTACTCACTACTATTACTGTATACCTCAGTTTAAGGGTATTACCATTACTGCCTCTTATTGAATGATTTATGGCACCACCATCACTATATTCCACTGTCAACATAACCCACCACCATATTCCACTATCACCATAACCCACCACCACCATATTCAACTATCACCATAACCCACCACCATATTCCACTATCACCATAACCCACCACCATAGCCACTATCATAACCCACCACCATAACCCACCAACTTGACCCACCATGACCCATCACCATAACCCACTGTCACCATAACCCATTGTCACCATAACCCAGTCACCATATCCCACTGTCATCATAACCAACCAACATGACTCACCACCATAGCCACTACCATAACCCACTATCACCATATCCCACTATCACCATAACCAACTATCACCATAACCCATTGTCACCATATCCCACTATCACCATAACCAACTATCACCATAACCCACTATCACCATAACCCACTATCACCATAACCCACTATCACCATAACCCACTATCACCATAACCCACTATCACCATAACTCACCATTCACTCAACAGATCACAAGTCAATAACACAGACGTCAAATTTCCACAAAGATTGAAAATTGTATCAGAGATTTTCACTACTAATAAAACTGTATCAAAGTTTCACAAACAGTCAAAATTATTATCTTAAAGTACAACAAAACTTTTTCCCCACTGAGAGTAAAAAAAAACTATTTCTTTAAACAGAATCACCAACTTTACCAATATTGTGGGCGGTAAAGTCAGTCTCTCTCTCTCTCTCTCTCTCTCTCTCTCTCTCTCTCTCACACACCCACACAAACCTGATCATCCTACCACAGGTCATCAGGGGAACTACTATCAGCTGTCAATATTCACATCAAATGCAGCGTAAAATTTAGAAATATAGGTCAATCTTAATATAGTAAACATTCAATGGGAGTTTCCTTATATATTGGTAATAGTTGAGGTGAATTTATATATTTACATTAAGTCTAGAGGGAAGGAATGTTTATAGTCACGCTCCCTTGTACGATTATTATAGCGTGTCTTCATTTATCGCCTCGTAAGAATGAAATAACGATGTGGGAGAGAGGGAAAGAGGAAGAGGAGGGAAGGGAGGAAGATGGATAGGAGGTGAATAAATAGAGTGGGGAGGGAGAGAGAGAGAGAGAGGGAGAGAGAGGGATGTGAGAAGGAAAGGGGGTGAATAGAAAGGAGAGAGAGAGAGAGAGAGAGAGAGAGAGAGAGAGAGAGAGAGAGAGAGAGAGAGAGAGAGAGAGATCAACCAAAAGTGAATCGATTATAAACAAAACACGAATTAATTTGGACATACCTGTAAATACTAATTACTATACTTTAATTACATGAGCAAACACTAAAATTCATACGGACTAGCAACTCCACATTCATTTAAAAAGTCCTAAACATCTATCCCATCATAACATAAAATTTAACATTCACAAATAACAACATCTGGATTCACAAGAGTAATAAGCCCACATACTGTATATGTTATGTAGAACAAGGAAATATTAAAAAAATTCTATATATATCTTTGTGTTAACGTATATGTCAACAATGTAACGTTCCTGGTATCGAGAGAATGTTGTGTTTTGTAATAGTAAGACTACAGTTTGTGTTTAATTGAAGAGAAGTTGAGTGTTTACATTTGATTGGAGGAACGGTCATAGCTACAGAAATAAATATTTACGATTACAGCTACATATTTTTTTTTTACGTTCATGGGTACAGAAAAAACCTTCACAGCAATAGAAGGACATATTACATTTACAGCACTCGACAAAAATATGTGTTTATGGTCACAGCAGAAATAGATATGACGATAGCAACAGAAAACAATATTATTTTGTTCACGTCAACAGAATAAACGTTCACAGCAACACGAAACATCTACTTTTACAGCAGCTGCGAGAAACAGTTTGCGATTACAGCAGCTAGAAACAGTTTACATTTACAGCAGCTAGAAACAGCTTACAATCACATCTAGAAACAATACACATTAAATCAATATATCTTTTCTCTAACGTAACTGTGAATATTGATGACGTAATGTATTCCTCCGCTTCACCATGACGTAATGTATTCCTCCGCTTCACCATGACGTAATGTATTCCTCCGCTTCACCATGACGTAATGTATTCCTCCGCTTCACCATGACGTAATGTATTCCTCCGCTTCACCATGACGTAATGTATTCCTCCGCTTCACCATGACGTAATGTATTCCTCCGCTTCACCAATTACCGTCTTCTTTAAAGGCGCCCTACTACTCAAGGCTGGTGAAATATTCTAATAACCTCTGTAGCCAACACGTCAACAACAACAACAACAACATGAACAAAAACAACAACAATAGTATAAGACACTATATACCCTGTAACTAACACACGTCAACAACAACAACATTAACAATAACAAAAACAGCAACAACAAATACATTAACAATAACAAAAACAATAACAACAACAAAAATAAAGGTGAAAATCTCTCTCGTTTCCCTCTCACAGATTTTTATAAAAAAAATTTACCCCAACAACAAATTTTAATGAAATGTTTACTTTGAAAATAATATAAACATAAAATTCTCAAAACACAAGATTAGAAAAATAATATAGAATGCAACACAAAGTAATACAATATTTCTGGAATGGAAAGATCGCATTATTCTTGTGTTTCATATTTTTCCATGGCTATATTCTGCATGGTGGAAATGAGTGTACGATTCATTATATATAAGCACTGTGTTTAGACGGTGTGTGTGTGTGTGTGTGTGTGTGTGTGTGGAGAGAGAGAGTAATTTCCGAACAATGTGAAACACGAACACCGACATCATATTTTCTTTGTAAATACTCTAGTATATATTTGGTTGTTGTTGCTATGGCTATTAACTCATATTATTAAATATTTCTGAACACACACACACACACACACACACACACACACACACAACAATAACAAGTATGTTCCAGTTATTAAAATACCTGATACAGAGTCACACATCCACGGACTTTATAGCAACACACACTTCCTACCAACGAATTTTTGTCAAACGTAAATAAATTCACAAAACCATTATATAGATACACCCTTACATGTACCTATAATACATTCAATAACATATAATAACTATAATAAACAATTTTGGTCTTCTATAATCTATATAATCTAAATCAATTATATACATTGAACTTGTTATCGTCTGTATGGGGTTAACGTTGAATTAATGAGAGTTAACGTATAACAAAATTGAACTTCTGAAGACGTTTAGCTGGGTTAAAGTTCCTCAAGTATGTCTCTATAAGCTTCAGTAACGGGTTTTGGGATCTTCTATAGGGTGAAGATGGGTGGTAGGGGGGGGGGTATCCTTAGAAGAGATCCTTTGATCCTGCCTCGCCTATAGGATGGGATGGGAGGCGGGGGGGGGGGAGGTCCCTGATTAAGTATAGTGACCGTCCGTTGGTCCCTGAATCCCTAGAGGAGCCAGGGGAAACTTTTGATCACACTGAATTTGGATACTAGTGTTTTCAGGTCCTTGGGTGACTGTAGATGCATTTAAGAGAGAGAATGAACCCGATTTTAGGTCCTTGGGTGACTCAGGGCTGACCTAAAGAGCCCCTAATGCATCTTGAAATAAAAATAGAGAAGAAAAAAAAGATCTTGTTTAAATAAGAAAATGTATATTGTTGTTTACATGTGTTAGAGTGAGCTGTGTCTCCTCCCGCTGCTGAGGTGGAGAGGACGATGACGAGGAACAAGGAGACGATGATGACGAGGATAAGGAGACGATGATGACGAGGAACAAGGAGACGATGATGACGAGGATAAGGAGACGATGATGACGAGGAACAAGGAGACGATGATGACGAGGAACAAGGAGACGATGATGATGAGGACAGCATCGATGATGAGGATAAAGATAATATTAATTGACGAGGATAAAGAGACGATGATGACGAGGATAAAGAGACGATGATGACGAGGATAAAGAGACGATGATGACGAGGATAAAGAGACGATGATGACGAGGATAAAGAGACGATGATGACGAGGAACAAGGAGACGATGATGACGAGGAACGAGGAGACGAGGACAAGAACAGGAGGACAGGGACACGAACACGAGGACAAGAACACGAGGACAAGGAAGGAGAGACGTCGAGGAAAACATTCATAAAACGAAGACAAAAAATCCATAGAAAACGCTAGAAGAGGAAGAGGGAGTGGGGAGGAGGAGGAGGAGGGAGGAGGAGGAGGAGGAAGAGGAAGAGGAGGAGGAGAGGAAGAGGGAGAGGAAGAGGAGGAGGAGGAGAGGGAGAGGAAGAGGAGGAGAGGGAGAGGAAGAGGAAGAGGAGGAGGAGGGAGAG